GGTAAATGTGGTCAATATAATACATAGAGCGTATGTAAATATAAAAGTGGACACTGAAGTCAACGAGAAACGCGATAGTCTGTTTCATGCTTGAATGCAATTTTCCTTTTTCACTGCTTGGTGTTTACCTCAGTGTTTACTTATATATATATATATATATATATATATGTGTGTGTGTGTGTGTGTGTGTGTGTAGGTGCGTGTGTGTGTGTGCGTGCTCTGTTTTTACATTGAGTTCTCTAGATTATATCCTTTTTGAAATTATACATCCTGATTACCAAATAATATTATTATTTCTCTTCCTCTCTCTCTCTCTCTCTCTCTCTCTATCTATCTATATATATATATATATATATATATATATATATATATATATATATTACAAAATTCATCTTTCTTTTGGCAATAGCACCGACGGTTTTATATACTATATTGAACAATGAAATCAGTCAAAAATATTCAAAGTCTTTTGGTATGCGAATTCCATCTTCAGGCTCCCAATTCTCTTCGGTGCTTTCTGACACAGCTTCTGAGATAGACCTAGAAGTATGAGTCCATCCTTTATAGAACTTATATGACAAACCGCTGATATCCGGTATATTTTTAACACTTGCTTTGCGAACGAAATCTTCCACCTGAAGTAGTTTTGATGGGTAAATTGTCTTTTTGTACTTCCGGTGGATGCGGTCTAATGAGTACACCGAAATGGCCCATGGGAACATCAGCCTGTGGATGGGCATAGGTTTTACGAAGATGTGCTTCCCAATTCTTTTTTTTTTTTTCACTCTTTACCACCTGGAACAGTTTCCTTGTAAATTTGTATGAATTATTATCGAGAGCATACTTTGACTTTCTTTCCTTTCGCCGCCATCTCCTTTCAATCACTGCCTGGACAATGTTTTAGTCTTTGTCCTATTCATGTTTAATTAGATGTTGTTTCCTTAAACTTTTTTTTTAAAGGCTATCTTTTCAAGTTGCTGCTTTTCTCCCTGTCCTCTACTGTCTGTTCTGGTAAAATATTTTTTATTTGGCGGCAAAGTATTCATAGCACACTGCCCACGCAATTTCACTGATAGAATGCAGTCTCTCCCCGATAGGCTTCTTCAAGGTAAACCACAGAATTACAATCCTCTTTTTCGTTCTCATTCGCTATTGGCCACCCAATGTGCGCTGCTTTTTCTCTCAGACTTGATACCTTGTGTCGACAAAAGGATTCTGTGTGCTGTGGTTTTTGTTCTGACACTGCTTCTTTTAACACGATTTATTTATCTCGATCTGAGATTTACGCCGTTGTAGACACAGACAACCGATTTTAGTGTAATGGATTCCCATTCCCTTAGCACCAATACAACTACAGCCGCAATACCATTGTTTGTCCGAGGACAGGCCCGGATTTGTTAATGGCTTCTAACGGATTTATGTTCGCATTCTTCTTCAGCTTTTTGGGTATTCAATGGGTATATGTTATTTGTTGGTGACGTGGGGCCAATAATATTCTTCTTGGCCTTTGATTGATTTGTTTTTTTACGGTTTACCAACCTTCTGCATGTTATTTCAAGCCAGAAAATATTTTAGATTGTAAGAATTTTTTGGATGTAACAATGATTTTTACTGATTCAAGTTCTACTAATTAACCCATAGCTAGGGGAGAAGAGGTGGATTCATATCTTTCCCAATGGTATTTGCGCGTAAGCGAATATAACAAACTCGACTGGAATTGGAACTCGACTTACTGATTCACCCCCTCCCACATATCTAAGCTTTCAACATCTGCTACTGACGTTGCTTAACTTCAGTGATCACCTGAGAACAAAGCCGACAGGAAATCTGCGTCATATCAAAATTCCAAATAGAATAGTTTTCCGACAAAATTTCCATTTGAAATCGTAGCTTTTTACTAGGACTTGAACACCAATCGTCGATACCGATTGGAAATAAGTATTTCAGTCATTAAACAAATCATTTTTTGCATCTTGCTACTTAGTACGTTACTACGTGTGTATGATTGTATCTTCCAGTAAAAGAACTATGAAATATGAGTCCGAATGCTATAATATTTAGAACATAAGTCCTTGCTCTCTAAGGAGTTACCATGGTTCAGTAGTAAGTAGCTATTAGGGCCATAGAAAAAATTATGCGTTCGAGTCCGTCCGAATGAACTTTCTGTAAATTTCGGTTTGCCAATAAAATATAAATTACGACCGAATTTAATCATTTTGTTAAATGACAGTTATGAAGAGGGATTTCTCATTATGACTGAATATAAAGAAACATCGTAGTAATATCTTAGGATCTTAGTAATAACTTCAAGATGTTAAAGATGTGTGTCGTGGTGTAATGCATATCGGCACGGAATGAGAAATCGAAGAACCGAGTTCGAATTCCAGTCGTGTTCGCTGCATTCCCGGAAAAGGTTTGAATCCATGGTTTGCAAATACCCTTGGGAAAGGTATGAATCCGTCTCTTCTCCTCCCAGCTATGTGTTGCAAATACCCCTGTGAAATGTATGAATCCATCTCTTCCCATCCCAGCTATTGTTTGGAAATTCCCTTGGGAAAGGTATGAATCAATCTCTTCTCCTTTCCGCTGTGGATGGCAAATACCCTTGGGAAAGGTATGAATCCATGTCTTCTGCGAGCTATGGTTTGCAAATACCCTTGGAAAAGGTATGAATCCGTCTCTTCTCTTGTGTTGGAAATACCCTTGGGAAAGGTATGAATCAATCTCTTCTCCTTTCCGCTATGGATGGCAAATACCCTTGGGAAAGGTGTGAATCCGTCTCTTCTTCTCTCAGCTATGTGTTGCAAATACCCTTTGGAAAGGTATGAATCCATCTCTTCTCCTTTCCGCTATGGATGGCAAATACCCTTGGGAAAGGTATGAATCCATGTCTTCTGCCAGCTATAGTTTGCAAATACCCTTGGGAAAGGTATGAATCCGTAACTCATCTTCCCAGCTATGTGTTGCAAATACCCTTGGGAAAGGTATGAATCAATCTCTTCCCCTTTCCGCTATGGATGGCAAATACCCTTGGGAAAGGTATGAATCCATGTCTTCTGCGAGCTATGGTTTGCAAATACCCTTGGGAAAGGTATGAATCCGTCTCTTCTCCTCCCAGCTATGGATGGCAAATACCCTTGGGAAAGGTGTGAATCCGTCTCTTCTTCTCTCAGCTATGTGTTGCAAATACCCTTAGGAAATGTATTAATCCATCTCTTCTCCTTCCCGCTATGGGTTGCAAATACCTTTTGGAAAGGTATGAATCAATCTCTTCTCCTTTCCGCTATGGTTTGCAAATACCCTTGGGAAAGGTATGAATCCATGTCTTCTGCCAGCTATGGTTTGCAAATACCCTTGGGAAATGTATGAATCCATCTCTTCTCCTCCCAGCTATGTGTTGCAAATACCCTTGGGAAAGGTATGAATCAATCTCTTCTCCTTTCCGCTATGGTTTGCAAATACCCTTGGGAAAGGTATGAATCCATGTCTTCTGCGAGCTATGGTTTGCAAATACCCTTGGGAAAGGTATGAATCCGTCTCTTCTCCTCCCAGCTATGTGTTGCAGATACCCTTGGGAAAGGTATGAATCAATCTCTTCTCCTTTCCGCTATGGATGGCAAATACCCTTGGGAAAGGTGTGAATCCGTCTCTTCTCCTCCCAGCTATATGTTGCAAATACCCTTGGGAAAGGTATGAACCCATTTCTTCTCCTCCCAACTATGGTTTGCAAATACCCTTGGGAAAGGTGTGAATCCGTCTCTTCTTCTATCAGCTATGTGTTGCAAATACCCTTAGAAAATGTATTAATCCATCTCTTCTCCTTCCCGCTATGGGTTGCAAATACCTTTTGGAAATGTATGAATCCATCTATTCTCCTCCCAGCTATGGGTTGAATAGAAGGACAGGCTGGATTCTATATATCCTTGGTCGGCCATCAGTCTATTGCAGAAAGAAATGCAGGAAAATCTTCTGCTTAGTCAGTCATGACTTGACAGAGACATGATCGTCGAACGTGTATCATTGCACTTAACTAAGTCCTATGTGAAATTAAATCTTCTTTTACATACATACCTCGCCTCTGCAAACCATCTAAAGTAAATTTAATGTTTTAAATTTGCATTTAAGTTTTGGTTTTTCTATTTACATTGTACATTTATATTTTGCAGTTTTCTATGTATCATTTTGCCTTTTCTGTTTATCGTCATCTTAATTTTTACAATTTATAATTGGCCTTTTCTGTATTTTCTTCAGTTTAATCATTCGTCTTCTATTCGTATTCAGTTAGTAAGAAAGAAGTCCCATCGGACAGCTTTTTTCCAAGAACGGTAAAATTGTGAAACAGACTCCCGATAGGATGTCTCTCCGATCCCTATAATCTCATCCAGTAGTCTTCTACTATGAGTGGCTCTTAGACTTTTCACAAGAATGAAAAAAATCTTTATTTTTATGATTTGCGTTTTCTATTTTTCATTGTCATATTTTTTTAAATTTTACCTTTTAATTTTTCTGTTTAGAATTACATTTCTTAATAACTTCTAAATTAATGACTTTGGGGGTTAAAAATTCTAATAATGTAAATTACCTAAATTAATACATATGTGCAAAATACTATCTCCATCCCCGTTATAAATTTTCGGTCCTCGACGAAATCAACTCTTAGCTGCTCAACCACAGACTCTACAAGATGTTAATTGTTTCTATGGAATTTGGTAAATTGATGTTCATACCAGGAGCTTTAAGAGCTGTAGGTTACATCATAAGGTTTCTTTAAAGTGAACTGGTTGGTCCAATATAATAAATACTCAGTCGAATTGACATCTGGGAAGTTTGTTAACAATCCAAATACAATATCGTTTTCTTCATGTTCCTTAAGCTCTTTCGGTACAACACGTGCATTGTGTTAGAGAGCATTGACTTGGTGAAAATGATGCTGCCATCATAGAACGTTGTTTCTATGAAGGGCGTATATGGTTCTCATTGATGTTGAGGTAATTCGTGGCTTACGGCCATATCACGTTGAAAATATTGGTTCTCGTCTGATCACCCGTGTTAAGCAACGTCGAGCCTGGTCAGTAGCTAGATGGGTGATCGTTTGTGAATACCAGATACTGTAAGCTTGGACGTGCGGGTGGTGTAATGAATGACGGCACGGAATTGGAAATCTGGGAGCCGTGTTCCAATTTCTGTCGGGTTCATTATATTCACTTACGCGCAAATACCGTTGGAAAAGGTATGAATCCATCTCTTCTCTCCCTAGCCATGGGTTAATTAGTATATCAGTGAATTATTACTATTTCAAAAAATTCTAACAATCTCAAAATATATTTTGGCTTTAAATAAACCTGCAAAAGGTTGATAAGCTGTAAAAAAAAGCAAATCCCTCAATAATTTGAGGTAAATGGTATGCAACAAAGTATCTTTAATATAAATGTTAAATAAAAAGTATTTCCCTGTAGAATATTACCCATTCACCAGTTTTTTCTTTTTCCCATAGTTTATCTGGGTGCTATCCCTTCCGCAGAAAACGCCCACGCATCGTACCGTTTGACTTATTCAGGAGAAAGTGAGACTCATCCAGACAGTTTTGCTTCTTCCGTACAATATATTTCAGATGTATGCATCGCCGTGGAAGACACTTTCTAAGATGAACATTGGTTAGAATTGACAGTATGACTGGACCGTGGCTACGTACTTCTATACACAAGGAGCGATGTACTATGTGTTGTGATGCATTAACTCCTTCACCTTCATTTATGCTATCTGCAAATTGTATCACAGTAGCCCTTCTGCTGTTTATACTTAGTAGGAAAACCTCGATTAGCTTCACGTTTTTAACCTTCTTGGCCACTCTTTGCCTTCCTCGGACCGATATTTACTCTGATATTTACTCACTTAATATAAGTACCCGACAAGACACACTGTTTCGGAAATTCCTTCTCTTCATTCCACAGTAATGCTGTTGCATGTTTGTGTTTTGTTTTCTTTTTCTTGGTCCAGAAGTTAGTGTAAGCAAGGATAAGCATCGTTATAATGGTCGAGCTGAAGTCAGCCTGGCACTGAGTTGGAACGACTAAAAAAAAGGTTGATTTATTTCATCGGTAGCGGTTTTGGAAAACACGTGCGAACTCCAAGCGTTGAAAAGTGGAAAACAGAGTTCAGTCGTCAGAGGAACGGGGAAACGAATGTGCTTCTGCGGGGTCGTCATTTCCATGTTGTACTACATCTTGGAGCAAGAGGGAGAAAGAGAGGAAGAGGAAGGGCAATGTTTATCTTTTTTATAGACTTAAACACCGTCGCCTAACAGTATTTGACGAAGCCAACTTTGGTAATAAAATTTCTGGTTCCTTTATTACTATCATCATGGGGTAATGTATTTCTTTTTCATTTTATTTGTTATTCATTATTATTATTTTATTTATTGACTTTATTTCCTTTTACCTTACGGTTTCTGTCGAAGTAACACAAATCAGTTTTCTTGTTCATACCTGCCGCATTAAACAAATGAAAATGAAGTACTCGGTTCCAGCTTATATAAACCCTTAACTCAGACAATGGTAACTGTCACCAGATATTAGGAGTCGTTGTTGAACATAATGTTCTTGCGCAACAACGTATATTATACAATTTGCCGACAAGTAGTAACTCCAAATATTTATTGAAACGTTTACAGAAATATTTGCATTTAATAATTAAAAATAAAAGTGGAATTTTCACGAGGTCAGTTTGTGAAGGCCCGGGTTTCAAGAGCGACTTCGTCTTTGCTTGTATGAGGAGGGTCACTCAAAAGAACCGAATGAACAGAATTCCATAAAATGGTGTATGGAAACGGTTTCGACTTCTGGTTACTAACAGTCGGTTTATTTCATGTTAACATCTTTGGGAAAGATATGAACCCAAACTGATCAGGCGTTGTTTCACTACATTGATCTAGATTTATCACCTGCTCACAACATTGGGATTTGAAGAGAATAAGCGAGAAAGAAAGAACGAAAGAGAGAGAGAGAGAGAGAGAGAGAGAGAGAGAGACAGACAGACAGACAGACAGACATATAGAAAGAGAGAGAGAGAGAGAGAGAAATATATATATATATATATATATAGTGAGAGAGAGAGAGAGGGGAGGAAATACCCCACGCAAGCTTCGTTCATTATCACCATCATCTCTAAATTACAAGTGTCAATCCCTTTTCATCAACTCTCATCGCCCGAAGATCGTCACTCAGGGTGTTTGACAGAATTTTTCAATGATCGCATTATGATCCGTGCCACTTATGGGGTGAGATACGCCTTCAGGTGTCCAATTTAATACTAATAATACTTTTGATGGATGGCTATACAAAGAAAGGTTTTAAGGGTTGTATAAATAAACATTGACACATGCTTTACTGTTAGAACTCCAATGAGGTTCTGTACCTTTATATCTTAAAATAATTCTTCATATTACAATTAGCTATTTTTGTAAAATATTTATTAACTGTTCTATGTTTTTTCCACATCGTAGGAGGAAAGCAAATATGCACAAATTTGCAGGTCACAGTTGAAGTTAATGCGAAAAAAAGACATTAAACGTTTTTATAGTGGTCAGAGCAGTTTTTGTTTCATTCAACGACGTCCTTGAAAACAGCTGGAAGTTCTGTGTTCGTCTCTCTTCTGCTTGCCAAAACGCAGAGGCAATATTTCGCTCAACACAGTAAAATTTTACGATGCAATTTTCATTCTATGACTTCTGTTCTGTATGGTTATTTGATATTAGTTTTTCGCAACGTCGCAAAGAGGAATGATATTTGGTGAAAAAATTGTAAATAATAAACAACAAATGTTAAAAAGAAAATGCCGCTCATAAAAACCATGCTGGATTTTTATAAGTCAAAGTGCACATATTGCAACGAAGATGAGTTAAATGCTGAATTTTCCTTTTTTATTACTTCAAAAATATTTGAACAAGATTCTGTAAATTAGAAAGAAAGGGATTGTCAGTGGTCATGAAATCACGCCAGCTTTAATTAGAACATATTCTCGAATAATAATGTCATATCTTCATTTTTAAGCACATCCCATCTCACCTCTCGCTTGTAACCATCCATCACAATAAAATAAACATTTTTCAGTACCCAAAATGAGTCAAATAAAGCTTCATAACCTTCTACTGAGCCGTTACGTGACATCTGTTGTTCTTTACGGCAGCGAATGTTGGACGATTTCCTCAAAGATAAAGAAGAAACTCGAGATGTGAGCAACGATGAGGTCTTATGGAAAATGCAAACAAGGAGAAGGCTTATATTAAACATCAGAAAGAAGCAGTTGAAGTTTCTGGGACACATAATGAGGAAGGAAGACGTGGAGAATCTGATACTCACGGGTCAAATAGAGGGAAAGAGATACAAGGGAAAGCAACGCGTGACATACCTGGCAGGCTTAAGCAAGTGGATGACAGAACATGGTCTGGGGAAGGAAGCAGAGGGAAGGAACTTGCTGAGAGCTGCATGGGATAGAGGGAGGTGGAGAGCCATGATCGCCTACCTCCTGAAAGGACATGGCACATAAAAAGAAAAGAAGAACCTTCTACTTAGAGTTGTCACTATATTACGGAGCTTATGAAAGAGCTTGTTTATCGTGAAAAGCGTCCTGTTATACAGAAAAATGAAAGTTTAAATTACTGCAAAGTTTGATCAAATTGATACCGAACTCTGTGAGCGTGTGCGCCACTCTGCATCTACTCGCTTGCAAATGTGAATTTTTCACGACGTAAGATACTTTGACCATTGCAAGTAAAACAGCTTTTAATATATAGCTTTTAATAAAAATAGCTTTTAAATAAATTATTTTCCCTCAGAATAAATGGTAAAGTGAAGATACCTTTCACTGATTTCTATCTTTTTGTACGCTGTAATACAAATGACAAACAAATGATCAACTGGAGCCATAAAAACAGATATCATGGCGCTATTTTTGACTCACCCTGTATATCTTGAGAATTTTAACAAATATTTATCTTTATTAAAAATTGGACTTCTATAGTTATAATATTTTCTGATAACATAAGCTGAACATTTATTTTCTATTTCTCTCTCTCTCTCTCTCTCTCTCTCTCTCTCTCTCTCTCTCTCTTTCACTATCTATCATTCAATGTATCTCATTTACTGTTCAACAGTCTTTGGTCTTGAAGAACTAAGAAGGTGTATTATATATCAGTTTCTATTTTTTTTTTTTTTGAACTATTATAATAGGTGAAATACAGGGTTGTGGAGGTGCAAGTGGCATAACGGGGAATGCAACCAACGAACAGAGTTCAAATTCCAGCTAGAAAAATTTACGTTCTCTTCGACCTTGGGGAAAACATGAATTCACTTCTCTCTGCTCCAGCTATGTGTTAAATAGCAGAAAATAGTGAACTCTCAGGTCTTGGTAGGCAACCAATCTAGGAGAAATAAATTCAAAAGCCAACAATAAAACACTACATTATCATTTTCTATGCTAGCGATCCCCTAATATAAGGCCCAACAGCCGCTCAAGGTAGGGGGTTAGTGAATAGGGTTGTTTTATGGACGTAAGAATTGTGAATTTTATGGATATATTGGATAGATAACGGTTGACCCTAAGATTAAGCTTGTAGAGGTCGAATTTGATTGATTTGTTATTTACGGCTTATCAACTCTTTGTGGGTTATTTAAATCCGAAACATATTTTGGGATTAACAATGTTTTTTTAGAATAACACTGGATACCAAAAATGGGTTCATAGCTTTCTCAAGGTTATTTGCATATAAGTCGGGGAAGCACCCAATCAGGAGTATCTTCTACAAAGCAAATAGCTTTTAGAAAGAAACTGTTCGGATGGAACGTCTTTCTTATCAATGGAATACGAAGGGAATGTGGATGGATCGCCTCTGTGTACCTAATATGGCGGGTCTTAGCTGTAAAGGTCTGGATTGGTGGAAGAACAATTATAGCGATGCATATTTTACAGATATTAAATTAAATTGCTGCTGTTGAGGGCCATGATCGCGTACGGCCTGAAGGGACATGGTATTTGAGAAAGGTAAGGAGATTTACGACGAGTAAGAGTGCACTCAAATAATTTGATACCTCCCTTATACACTTAGCTTTCATACGAAA